CTGACAAGCATGTACCCCCAGTCCCGTTCCATTGGGCTGGGTAACAGGGCTGAGTTGTGGGTCTTTTTCTGGAAGATGGTAATAGCAGGATAATGCTGTGTCTATCTCTTGCAAACTCGGCAAGACGAGGTCTGTCTCCCTTTCCCTCCGTGGGGACCAGGGCTAGGGCTGCTGCCTGCGGCCGGTCATGCCCGGCGTGTGGTGGAGGCAGCAGCCGGGGCCCAGGCACATGATGGCAGCATTGGGCAGCCTTTGGAGCAGGGGAGAGAGGAGAAACCAGGGCTGGTGCAAGCTGCTGGGAATCTTTTTACGCTGTACCTATGCGGTGAGGTGGGATAGGGCTCTTTGCAGAGTGGTGTTGCAAAAGGAGGGGGAATGCACGTGGCAAAAAAAATGGTTTAAACTGAAACAAACCCAGGGAAGTTGCTTTGAGTTAGCAGAGTGTGTCCATCCCCTGTGATAGCACTGTGTGGCTGCCCCGACTCCTCGTGGAGGTCCCCTGTGCCCTGGCAGGGCTGGGGACAGGCTGAGCGCTGTGTGCACACCTAGCAGGGAGCTGCAGGCTCTCGTCTGCCCTCCTCTGTTCCTGTGGGATCCCCCAGACCTGGGGGAGCAGTGGGGCTGGAGGGTTCAGCACGGGGCAGGAGGGCAGAGGATGCAGACCCTTGGGTGAACAGAGCTCTGGATGATGGTGAAATGAAAGATACATAAAATACATTGATATTTAATTGAAACAGCTGGAAGAATCACTTTGTTACTGTAAAGCTTGAATTATTAACATTTTGAGCCATTGCAGCAGTTCATTTAATTGTACCCAGATTCACTGGCCTAACCCTTGGCATTGCCTGGCTGGCATAAATTTGATATAACGTAATGTAAAAAGGGCCAATTTCACAGGAAATGAAGCTGGCAAGAAGCAGCAGCTCTTTTATTGTTAAAATGGATTTCCAAGACAAATAATTAAGGCTCCTTTTACTAGGGTGTGGGAGGGAAGGCTGGTTCTCTGCTTGTGTGAGGCACAGAGTGCTGAGTGCCCTGCCTTTTGTAGGAGCTGGTTTTTGGCATCTGAGTTTGAAAACGTGCACTTTGTGTTTGAAAATGTTACTGTGGGCTTCTAATGGCTGAGCCTGCACTTGAGAACTTCCACTGCATTGCTCTGTGGATCAGCCTTATGCTAATTTGTTTAACACTACTCTTTTTGTATGCTTTCCTGGCAAAAACCTTCCTAGTACTGTTGTATGGGCAAAAAAAAAAGCTTTTCAGTTGCTGTTTGTTTGCTTGCTGAACTGGAATAAACATCAGAAGGAAAATTACTTTTTAATTATTTTTTTTTTTCTTAAATCAGGGTTTGTGTGCTGGTACTGGGGAGGACTTTAGTTGTAAAAATTCAAGGGGTGCCAAAAAAAAATGGAAAAGCCAGCTTGACTGAAAATGTAAAAACAAAAAGAAGTGTGTTTGCATACGACTTCTTTTCAAGCTTACAATGAAAATTAGGCAATTTTTTAACATTTGTTTCCTTTCCCTTTCTAGGCTAAAACTGCAGAAGGCTGGGAAGTCTTGGGAACGGTCAGCAAGCCTGAGGATGTGGAAAATGTTCCTGTCATCAGTTGCTTGGAATTTCAGTGGAATAAACCCATTATTATAGTAATAGGTATTTCAATTTACAGAGCTTTGGGCTTGTGGAGGTGCACGTGTAAGGTGATGTTTCATTCCAAAGCTAGCTGCAGGTCTGTTCCGTTACATCACACTTTGGGCTGGAAAAGAAAAGCTGAGCAAGAATGGTCTGGCTGCAAACGAAATAGGGACCCAGAAGAAGAGGGGGAGCCGAGAAGCCTCCCAGTAGGAGCTGCAAGAACAAACCAGTTTGTGTAGATGAACAGAGAGTTTAGAAGCTGCAGAGGGTCTAGGTGGCAGTTCTCAGTGGCAGGGCAGGTCTGGGTCAGTGTAGCCACAGTGTGTTGTGTTGTGTTGTGTTCTGCAGCGCTTTTGGTCCTTTCCTAAAGCCCTGAACCTGGATTTTCTGTGTTGGCGAACCACAAACCTGAGTGAGAGACCCAGGAGGTACGTGTTTGCTCTTGCTGCACAGAGGCTGTAATGGTGAGCTCTGCCATGTCTTTGAAAAGAGGAATATGTCTCTGTGCCCAGCTCTGGAAAGAAGCGTGAGGAGCTGTTGCTGGGGATGGTCTAAACACAGAGTTAGGCTTTGTGGCATGGAGACCGCCACGGAGACCCGTCAGTGGCTGCTTTTGTACACCTAGGAGGAGGCAGGAGCTGGTGGCTGCTGCGGTACCAGCAGGAGGAGCAGGCGTCACCTCCTCGCCAGACCTG